GTCGCCCGATAGAAGCTGCCCAGGCCCCGTCCCACCTGGGCTGCTGTACCTCTTGGCGGAGCGTCCGGCCCGGGGCCAAGTGGGGCCTCCGCGCTCCGTCTGAGAAGCTGCCCCCTCACAGATCCTGGGGCTCAGGTCGAATCCTCTCCTCTACCCCCACCAGCCTGGCATGGTCACCAGTGCCGACGGCAGTGCTGTCTGGCACCAAGAATTCAGCAGCGACCAGGACACTAAGGCCCTGCGGCGTGGAGTTGCCATTCTACAGGGAGCCATGTAAAGAGACACAGGAACATTTCTGGGGGTGAATCCGCGCAGAGGATTCGGGCTGACAAGCGCAGAGCGGCCTGTGACTCCCCACGGCGGCCCAGCCCCCGTGACACTCAGGCGGCCCCGCCCGGGTGGGGACGACCTTCTGGAGGGAGCGCAGTCTGGCGGCTCCTGCTCTGCGCCCAGGGCTCCATGTGGAAGCCGAGCCTGGCAGGCCTGGCCTCCCCGGCCCTCGCACCGGCCCTCTGCAGGCCGGCCACCTCGCTGCCCCGGCAGACCTGTCCGCGGAGGCTCTGGTTTAGAATCGAAGCGAGCAAGTCATTTTCCCAGAGCCGTTGTCCTGGTCAGCAGCAGCGAGTGTCCTCCGTGTTCTCTCTGCTTGGTGCAGTCTCTGGGGTCCCTTCTGATGTCGTGAAGGGAGGGGAGGTTAAAAGGCAGCACAGAAAATATGGTCTTCACGTTCCTCTAACTGGGGAGACAGTGAAAGTCGGGGTTTCTTTCCAGAGCAGTGTGATCAGGTCTCGCAGTGTTTGTGCCCAGAAGGAAGCTCTGTGGACGTATGACCTCCCTGAACAAGCCCCAGCCTCCGGGTCTGTGCGCTGTTCATGCTGGAGGACAGGGCGAACCCTGTGTCTCCCCCACTCCGTGGCGACCCCTGCGTCTCCCCCACGCTGCAGCGACCCCTGCGTCTCATATCACGTTGGAGACAGCAGTGAACTGTGGGTACATCCTTCAGGACAGGAGGACGGCGTGTGCACCTCTGTTCTTGGGCCCAACCAAGAGTGTTCTGTTCCCCACAGACTAGAGAAGAGGGGTTGACAGTCGAGTGGGAGTGGTTAGGGGAGCTGTCCTTCTGCAGGCTGAGTGCTGGTGGCAGTTGTTACAGGCTGAGGGGGCCTGGGGACATGTGAGCTTGTACCTCTGGGTGGCATCGTGCTGGATGAGACTCGGGGGTGACCTCTCCCCACTTTGTCCCAGTCCTTGAAGGCGTCCTCTAGCAGGAGCCCAGACCTCCCTCGGGGACATGCAGGACTGTTCCTCTGCCAGACCTCTGGCCCGTCCTGTGTCCACACGTGAGCGGAGACACCTGACCTGGCGGCTGGCGTCTTCAGGTCTCAGCACGTCCAGGTTTGGCCATGGGAGTCCGTTGTCCAGCGGGGCTCTGCCCTGGAGACTTCAGGACCGGCAGCCGCAGCCGTGTCTGACTTTGGGGCGGCCCTGAGGGGAATGCAGACTTGGGGCAGACGCCTGGCTCCTACCAGGGCCTGCTGCTCCCAGTCATGTGCTTCTGCAAATGCATCTTCGTTCTCGACCCCGGGTTCCCGTGTCACTGAGAGGGGGCCAGAGCCCTGGGGACCAACCGTGCGGCCAGCGACGTTGACTGGGCGCTGCCTCTCTTCTGTGTCTGTGGAAACAGAGGTGTCGTCTCTCAGACCTGCTGCGTCATTTCTCAGAAGCACAGTGAACCTCCCGGGTGGAGGCACCGCCAGACCTGGGGCCTGACCGGACTGCACCTTCCAGGGCAGGGGCTGCTGCCGTTTCCTGCGGGTGCTGTGAGGGACCCCGCAGGCTGGTGCTCTCCTGGGAGACGTCTCCTGGCCGAGGGGCAGGCGGCCTCGGGGCAGCAAGGAGGACGCCTGAGCCTCCCTCTCTTGAGGACCCCTGGAGGACGTTGGGCCTCCCCAGTAATCCAGCATAACTGCCCACCTCAAGGCCCTTCACTTAATCATTCCTGCAAAGTTTATTTTGCCAGTTACGGCAGCACGGTCACAGATTCCGGGGATCCTGATCGCAGATTTCCTGGGCGAGGCCGCACAGTCATTTCCACTTTAGTGTGAATACCTAGTCAGCTCCCCTGTGCTTCCCTTGGGGCTGAGGACGTCCCTGCACAGGGAGGGCACGTGGTGTGGTTTCTCTGGAGAGCAGGCAGAGCGGGGTGTGGGCCTGCAGGGCGCCCCAAGAACTGGTCCTGAGTGGCCCCTCACCAGGGCTTAGCTGGCCTGGGACTTGAGTGCCCGGGTTGCTCGGCATCCTCCTGGGGCCCCTCCAGGGCCTGCTTTCTACTGGCCTGTGGGGCTCAGCGTGACCATCTGGGCCCGACAGAGGCGTGACGTTTTGGGGCTCTCCTGAGAGCAGGGGTGCACGAGCACCTTCCTCGGGGTCCTGGCTCTTCTGGATCCCCCAGGTTCTTCCTTTTCTTCCCTCTCCAATCTCTTTGGTCAGTACCAAGCCCACCTTTCCCCAAACCCGTCTCTGAGCCGTGGCAGGACGGACACCTCGGCTGCTGCTTCACAGGAAACAGCCTTTTAACCTTCTCAGCTTCCGCTGTGCAGGCTCAAGGCCAGGTACAGCCTGCTCTGACCTGAGGCAGTGGGAGGGGGCTCCGGGCACTGACCCCTCCCTGTGCGGGGCCAAGAGGACATGTGGCCAGACCAGGACGCTTCTCCCATCACTGGCCCCGGGGGTTCAGCATGTGGAGGGGTGGGGTGGCGGCCTGCTCCCTGCCTGTCATCTGGAGAGAACCCTGACTTCTGGGCACTGTGCTCCGGGCTGCTGTTCCAGGAGACACTTGTCCCCCCACTTGTCTCCCGTCCCCCCACTTCATCGGGCAGGCACAAGCTCTCGTAGCTGGGACAACCCACCCTGTGCAACAGCATCTTCTTTCCGTGTGTCTGTCCGCCCCAGGAGGAAGCCCAGACCTGGGTGGGCCAAGGCGGTCATTTGCTCTCCCACACCTGGGCGCACCCTCAGCCAGGACACCTGGAGAAAGGAGAGGTTGCCAGGTGACCAGGTTCAGCCGTGACCAGTCTCCTGCCTGGGGCAGTGTGTTCAGTACTTTTCCAAAATGTTTTCCCCGCCCCACCAAGTCAGCGACAGCACCTTCTGTCTGCAGCGCGGCCCAGGGAGTGGCGGGAAGGTGGCACCTCCTCACGTAGGTCCCCCGGCCACCCTGCTTGGCAGCCTGGCACCGAGAAGAGCCAGCATGTCCCTGCGGCACATACGTGCAGCTCTGCGGCCCCCGGACTCCCCTCGAGCGTGAACGCCTGGTAGGGGCAGCCTCCGAGGCGTCACCTCGCCAGACGGTCCTGCAGGGGGACCGGCCAGGCGGCCTGCTCCTCCTCCGTCACTGCAGTGCACGCGGGCAGATTGCGTGACCCCGTCAGCACCGCCCTTCACGGGAGCCTTGCAGACTCATCCTGGGCCCGTCCTTGTCGTTGTCCCTCGTGTGTGTGGGTCAGACCTGCTCGGAGGACAGGGAGGTGCGTCCGCCGGCCAGAGCCCTGTTTGAGTGGCTCGTGAGCATGGAGGTGTCCGGAGAAGGTCCCTGTTCTGCAGCTGGGGACACTGAGGATGAACAGGGTTAGTGTACTCGCCCAACCCTCCTCGCCGGAACCAGGTCTGCCCACCACCGGCCCAGGCACCTCTGTTCCCTCTCATGGGCGTCTGCCCAAAGGACCGGGGAGGCCCACACCCCACATCCAACCTGTTTGCCCTCCTCCCCTTGGGCTACTTCCCGAGGGCACAGCTTGGCCCCGTGGGTCCCGCCCCAAGGAGCTGCCAGTCTGTATGAGCCTTAAAGCCCCTCACAAGCCATGCACTGGGGTGGAGGTGCCCAAAAAGCATGACCGCCCCAGGAGACTCTCAGACCCTCTCAGGACTGAAGACAGTCTCTGGGTGCACAGATGAGACAGCATTTCTCACCACTTCTCTGTAATTCCGGGGCCATTCTGGGGAAGGGCCTGTGTGGCCGCGGGCTGGGGACGGAGCTGCCGCTTTCTGTGAACAGCCCGGGGGTGGAGGAAGGCTCCAAGGTGGGAGGTGGGAGGGAACCAGGAAGTCTGCTGGAGCCTGGTCACAGAGACTGCAGGACGTGGCTGGACTCTTCCCAGAGCAGTAGGGCTCAGAGCCGCCTGCATCCAGGTGTGACCTACTCAGAGGTGAGGGAGAGGGGAACAAAGGCCACATAGAAACACTCACTTTCTAGCATCACAGATATTGCCACTGCACAGCAGGCAACAAGAGGTCAGTACCGGTTAGAGATGATAGCCATGGAGGTCAAGGTGGTGGTGGTGATGGTGGTGGTGGTGGGGATGGTGGTGGTGGTGGTGGTGGTGGTGGTGATGGTGATGGTGGTGATGGTGGTGGTGGTGATAATGATAGTGGTGATGGTGGTGGTGGTGGTGATGGTGGTAATGATGGAAGTTGAAGAAATAACAGTGGAAAGAGCTTGATGCTGCAGATAGATTTATACCCCTTTCCTGTGCTTCTTCCTTCAACCCCTCCTCTGTTCATTGTTCATTAAACACCTGTTCTAAAGCAGGTGCCTGGCACCCCTGCCCGGGCCCTGCAAGCAGTGGCCTAGTGTCATGAGGCCCAGCTCCTCAGGGAAGAAGCCTCCATCTCAGGCTGCAAGAAGGTCCCTGGGGCCGAGACAGGTCTGGGGGGCGCAGGGCACAGCATGGACCACGCGCAGAGCTGGGCAAGGCCTGGGGCTGGGGCTGTTGACAGCGTCAGTGATGGCAGAGCAGCAGGGTGCGGAGAGGAGGCAGAGCTGGAGAGGTCGGCAGGTGTCCAGCAGCTGGGTTGGGGAGGGACGGGGAGATGGGGTGAGGAGTAAGTGCGGGGAGGCCCGGCCCCAGAGCCCAGGTGAGACTGGTACGAGCCGCACACGCCCTTCCGCTGGACGGTTTTCTTAGTGATGATCCCTTTCTGTTCTGCCCCCTTTTCTCTAGGCAAACGAGGGAGCAGGAGACGCCCCCTGACTTCTTTTACTTCTCTGACTACGAGAGACATAATGCAGAGATCGCTGCCTTCCACCTGGACAGGTGAGTCGGTCCACTTGCAGCTCCCCACAGAGGCCAGGTGGCTGAGGTCTGAGTGCTGAGCTTCAGCCGGTCCCTTCAGCTCTCACCGCTCCCAGCCAGGGTGCCCGTGGCCACCCTGTGCACCGGAGACGGGGACTGAGCATTCGATTGGCCTGTGCTCATAGCCAAGCTTCTCCCGTGAGAGCTGATCCTGCCCTTAGGTGCTGCAACCAGGCACACGTGCCCTGCTGTGCCCACGTCTCCAGTAGCATCTGCAGGACACGGCCAGGTGGCAGGGACCAGGGTCGATGGCAGACCACTGGGTGTGAGGAAAAAGAAAGGGGAGCATTGTGAATTTTGCTCAGGGAACTGTAGGTGTGAATTTCTCTGGGAGGTGAGGACGGACCGAGGGAGAGAGTCTCACAAACTGTCCCCCCACTGTGGTCACCTGCTTGGAGTCATCTCTACCTGGCAGAATGGATTCCTCTTCGGGGCTCACAGAACCCTTGCTGCTGGGCGGTGGACAGGCGGCTATGCACAACCAGGTGGGATGGACAGCCAGCAGCCCCTGGGCTTGCTCAGAGCCCTGCACCTCCCAGGGACAGTTCACGGGCCTGGCTTTGGGGTCAGACCGAGGGGCAGAGGCTGGGCCACCAGTGTCCACTGCACCCAGGCTGGTTCGAAGTCAGAGTCCTGTGCTGCCCTGGTCTTACAGCCCAGGCAGAGCCCAGGCCCCAGGAGGCAGACGGCATATTCACTCAGCCCCACCGACGGCCGCCCACAGGGGCCCGAGCTAAAACTCCCTCTCACGTCCCTTTCCTGCCAGGATCCTGGACTTCCGACGGGTCCCTCCCGTGGCCGGCAGGATGATAAACATGACCAAGGAGATCCGGGATGTCACCCGAGACAAGAAGCTGTGGAGAACCTTCTTCGTCTCTCCAGGTGAGCGCACCTGCGGAAGCCCGCCCTGCCTGGCCTGCGGCACACAGCGCGGGGCAGTCACCCCTGGGCAGTCGTGCGGAATGCTGGCTCAGCCTGCACGTGTGCCCTCCCCCGTCGAGGGCGCCCCAGGCGGCCGTGCTTTCCTACTCAGTCTGTCCCCGGGGGGTTGTCGGGGTCATTTCTACCATGTGATTTTCAAAGGCAAGAGGAATTCGTTGTGGAAAACTCCCAGGCTCCCCAGAATCCTCTCTGGGGGTGCATGCAGGGAGACCTCTGTTCTCTGAACTCTCGGGGGCCGGGGGCACAGACTCTGCTCTCCCTGGTGCTGGCACTGCAGGGCCCCGGCCGCCAGGCCACTGGACTCCCGTGTCGGGCGACCCAGGCTGTGTGGCTGCTTCTCGCCACATCTTCCTGCAGTTTTTATTGCAACGTTTCTTATGACCTATTTCAAAGTTGCAAAAATTAAGGTAACACCTGGTTCTCAGGTGCCCGCCACCCCGTTTAGCCTCTGGCCGCATCTTTCTGCATCGGAAGTGAGTGTCCAGGCTGTGTCCAGGCCGCATTTCCACAGCTCTCAGAACCGCCTGAAAGACAGTGTCGGGCCGGCAGAGAGGAGGGTCAGAGTCGTTGCTGAGAACAGGCACGGCGTGGCCACACGGCTAGGCAATGTCGGGGCTCGGGGTGCTCGGGGCGCTTGCCCCCACATCTCGACACCCCCCAGGCTCCCGAGGGTTCCTCCAGGACACAAATGAAGTGATGAGTCATGAGCACATGGACACGCGAGGAGGCCAGTTGGGCCTGACCGGCAGGAGATGACCAGCCAGGGCCTCGCAGCAAAGCCGTGAACCCTGGCAGCGAGCTGGTCATCCACGCACCGTACACCTCACCATTTTTAACTGCACGGTTCAGAGGTTTCCCAACAGTCACGGTTTGTAGGACATCACCACTGCCTGTTCTAGAACAGCCCCCTGGAGTCACTAGTCCTGTGCACATTCGCTGTGCATAGAATCATACGATGGACGGCTGGACTTCTCTTACGGAACCCGGTCTGTTCCCGTGCAGTGACTGTGGGTGCACTCCTTTCAAAGTCACAGTGTCCTGTGTGGGGATCTAAGGTGACACGGGCCCCATGGTGTGAGTGGGCCGCACTGTGTGCACCCACTCGTCACTGGTGGACGACGTAGGCGTTTCCACTCTTCCGCTGCTATGGACAGCCAGGTGCACGCCGGGCACCGTTTTCACTCCTCTGCAGGGTGTGCCTCTCGTGGGGGCTGGGCTGTGCACACCCTGACTGTTCTGAGGCAGCACCAGCAGCTCTCACAGGGCTGCTCCGTCCCACAGTCCCACCAGCACGGCGTTGGGTTCTAGTTTCTCCAGGTCTGTGAACACTTGCTGTGATCTGTTCCCCTGGTCAGAACTGTCCAAGTGGGTGCAGAGCGGACCTCACTGGATTGACACGGTTCTCTGAGGACTGGTGTTGAGCGTCTTCTCATGTCCTGGTTGGCCGTTTGTGTGTCTCCTTTGGAGGAACAGCCCTTGAACTCCTCTGTCCATTGACTAATTGGGATATTTATCTTTTTTTTAATCCTCACCTGAGAATACTTTTTCATTTACCTTCAGCTAGAGTGGGAGGGGGAGAGAGAAAGAGAAACATCGATTGGTTGCCTCCCGCACAACCCGACCAGGGCTGGGGACCGAACTGCAACCAAGGCACATGCCTTTGACCAGAATCGAACCCGCAACTCTTTGGTCCTCGAGCCAATGCTCTAACAACTAAGCCAAATCGGCCAGGGCAGATTATTTATCTTTTTAATGTGTAGTTGTAAGAGTTGTTTGTATGTGATAAATGCTAGATCCTTATCAGAGATAACATTTGCAAACATTTTTCCCCCACTCTGATTGTCTCTTCACTTTCTTAACACCGTGAATGGTTTTTTGCTGGTGAACAGTGACTGTAGGATTTCCATAGACTCAGTCTGTTCATTTTGAGGGTGAACAGTAAGAACCTGGGTTCAGATCCTAACTCGAACAGCCATAGCTGTGTGGCCTTGGGCAGGTTGGCTGCCCTCTCTGGACCTCCCTTTCCTGTAGCGCGGGGTTGGAGGGGTTTGCTGAGATGGAATGTGAGAACACGGGGGCCCCACCTCCCCGGGACGACAAGGGCTGGGCCAGGACAGACACGGCGGGGAGGGCCTGGCGTGGGAGCCCGTGGCCCTGCGCAGCCCACTGAGCAGCTGGTCCTCTGCCGCAGCCAACAACATCTGCTTCTACGGCGAGTGTTCCTACTACTGCTCCACGGAGCACGCCCTGTGCGGGAAGCCGGACCAGATCGAGGGCTCGCTGGCGGCCTTCCTGCCAGACCTGTCCCTGGCCAAGAGGAAGACATGGCGGAACCCCTGGCGGCGCTCGTACCACAAGCGCAAGAAGGCAGAGTGAGTGTGAGCCGGTTGTGGCCACAGCAGCCCTGGGCAAGGCCCCCACGTCCTGTCTGGCTGTCCTGGGTCCTGGCCTTGACCATCGCCGCCCTTTGTGTGACGGGGATCAGACGGTCCGGAGGGAGGTCCTCACTCTGAAAGTCAGATGTGGCCCTGAAGGGTGCTGCCCCGCACACGTGGGTCTCTGGGAACACAGCCCCTCTGTGTTCAACATGGTTTCCTCGCCCCTGCCCTTCTTGTCCCTCAAGCAAAGGAAACGTCCCCTGTTCTTGTAGCCACAGAGGACGTGAGTGAGGTGTCCAGCCTCTGTTTCTTTTCTTTTTCTTCTTTACTGATGTTAGAGAGAGAGGGAGAAAGAGACAGAAACATGGATGAGGGAGAACATTGATTGGCCACCTCCTGCATGGCCACTGGGGATCGGGCCCACCACCTGGGCATGTGCCCTGATCAGGAATCGAACGGGTAACCTCTTGGTGCTTGGGTCGACGCTCAATCACTGAGCCACACCGGCTGGGCCAGCCTCTGTTTCTTTTATTTTTTTATTTAAAAGAAAAAAATTTTTAAATCCTCACTCAAGGACATTTTTCTATCCACATTCAGACAGAATGGGACGGAGGGAGGGAGGGTGAGAGAAACATCGATGAGAGAGAGAGACACACCAACTCGTTGCCTCCCCCCTCAATCCCAAACAGGGCCAGGGAAGAACCACAACTGAGGCACATGCCCTTGGCAGGAATCGAACCCACGATTCTTTGGTCCACAGGCCAACATTCTAACTGCTGAGCCACACCAGCCAGGACAGCCTCTGTTTCTTAACAGTGACCCTCCAAACACCTGGCATCCAGGATTGACCGTGGCCTCCAGGTGTGGCCAGTCTAGGGCAGGGTGTTTCATCACCTCCTGGCCCCATACTCCTGTTAATGCAGCCTCAGCCCGCGTGGGCATGTCAGTCTGCAGACTCTTCATTTTATAGCGACATCTTTTCTCCAAACCCAGTCCTTGGGGTAAACCCCGTGACCCAGACCTGAGCTGGCCCCTCATACTGGCTCCCTGCAGGTGGGAAGTGGACCCTGACTACTGCAATGAGGTGAAGCAGACACCCCCCTATGACAGCAGCCGCCGCATCCTGGACGTCATGGACATGACCATCTTCGACTTCCTCATGGGTGCGTATGAGGGTCTGTCTGCTGGCCCCGACGCAGCGCCAGGCACAGGGATGCTGCTGCAGCCTTGGTTTGTGGAGGGGCCCGCGTCCCTGCTTTTCCTGTGACAGGGCTGGGATCGGACCCTGGGAGGGAGGGTAGCCACCTTGGAGCCACACAGATGTCTAGCTGCGGCCGGGTTTGCTTTTCTCCGCAGGAAACATGGACCGCCATCACTATGAGACTTTTGAGAAGTTTGGGAACGAGACCTTCATTATCCACTTGGACAACGGAAGAGGGTGAGCCCTGGTCCTGCAGAGGCTTGGGAGGCTGGCTGCAGCCCCTTCCCAGAGCCCGGCCAGATGGGAGGCACGGCTGTCTGTCGGGGGGGACAGGGCCGTCCCCAAAGGTCCACTCTGTGAGGCAGGGCTCTGTAGGTAGGAGGGTCACAATGTCATTTCACCTCATTCTCACAGTACCCTGTGAGCTGGTTCCTCTTGTATCCCCCCGTTTCCACGGGGAAACTGAGGCCCAGAGAGGTTGCTGGCCAAGAAGAGCAGGGCTGTGCGGAGCTGGGAGGGGCGTCTGCTCCGCAGGTAGGCACCTGGGACCAGCAGGCGAGGACAAACGGCTCCCTGCCCAGGGCACGAGGGAGTGTCCGTGGTCACGGGGAAGGGACCCCGTTCCACACATCACAGCCGCAGGGCTTACTGCCCCGGGGAGACCAGCTTCGGGCCTGGGCGCGCACTCCTCCTGCCGGTGCCACGGGCCATCTGGCCGACCCTCCTCAGCCGCTGCTCAGCCTGCCCAGGATGAGGAGCTCTGCTCGCCCCGTGGCCAGAACGCCAGGCCCTGATAACTGCGTTTCCTCCGCAGGTTCGGGAAACATTCCCACGACGAGCTCTCCATCCTGGTGCCTTTACGACAGTGCTGCAGGTACCACCTCTGCCCTCCGCCGGGCAGGCGCCGCCCCGCGCCAGCGTGACCCCCGCCCCCCGCCGCCCCCCACCGCCCCCCGCCAGCGTGACCCCCGCCCCCCCGCCCCCCCCCGCCGCCCCCCGCCAGCGTGACCGCCGCCCCCCGCCAGCGTGACCCCTGCCCCCCCCCCCCCCCGCCGCACAGCGGCAGGAACACCTGCGCCCCCCCCCCCGCCCCCGCCCCCGCCCCTCCTCTCACCCTCTCGGATGACGGCCCAGACCCTGCCCCTCCACCACCCTCGCCAGGGCTCGCCTGCCCACCTCCTCCCTGCAGCTGGGAGAACAGGCTGTGGGCAAACCACCTGCCCCTGGCTAAGGGGACATCTCAGTGTCCGCCTGCTCGGACGGACATGCGGAGCCAAGCGGGGCCGTGTCCCTGGCGAGCGGGCCACCCCTAAGGGCCAGGGAGGACGGACCGCGCTGTCCCGGCGTGATGTCCTCAGCCCGGCACCTCTCCCCCTGCAGGATCAGGAGGTCCACCTACCTGCGGCTGCAGCTCCTGGCCAAGGAGGAGTACAAGCTGAGCCTGCTGATGGCCGAGTCCCTGCGCCAGGACCGCGTGGCCCCGGTGCTCTTCCAGCCGCACCTGGAGGCCTTGGACCGGCGGCTGCGCCTGGTGCTGCAGGCCGTCGGGGACTGCGTGGGGAAGGACGGGCTGGGCCGCGTGGTGGACGACGACCTGGACCCTGCGCACAGAGGCCCCACCGATAGGTAGTGACCACAGCCGCCGGCCAGCGCTGAGGACAGACACAGGGCCCAAACCGTGAACTCGGGAACTACGGGGCTGCTCTCGAACTTGGGGACCTCGGACGTGAGGTCCTTCGGCAGTGGGTCCGACAGGACACACTTCATTCGTGTTCAAGACCTGAACGCGTTGGGGATGGAGCTAACGGACAGAGGCGACCCGGCGGCCCACCCTCTGTATGGAAGGGAAGCCTTTATTTACTGTTTTGTATTTATACACAGATTATATGTATATAAACAGAGAGACTTCTACCCCAGACTCACACAGAGAGCCACCCTCCTCCGCGCCAGGCTCTCCTTGGAGGGTCCTGTGCTGTGGGCCCAACTTACAATAGGAACTCTCTTCTCCTGCCCCAGCCACACGCAGGGCCCTTCCGACCGCGGGCTCCTGGTGGCCACACGGACTTGCGTGGACAGAAGAAAACTCACATATGTCCTCAAAGTGACAAAAGCAACTAGTGACCGTTTCTCAGGGCCGCCCACCAGCACCCAGGACCCATGGTGGCGGCCCAGCGTGCAGCTCTCTTTGATGGAGACGGTGTAGATGCGTCGCCCGGGGTCCTCTGCACACCTCCGGTGCATTTTTGTGGAATAGTTCGCAATGTGATAAAAGTGCAATAAAGATACAGCAAATGTGTGTCGGGGGCTCCGCAAGGTCCAGGTCTCTCACACCCTTGTACTACGGTGTCTGCCCACCTGCCCCCCAGAAAAGCAAGTCCTGGCACTGGGCATGGCGAGGCCCCAGCTCTCAAGGTGGCCACTGGGGTGGCCATGCACCTGGGCTGGAAGGAGAGGCCTGGAGTAGCAACTGAACTCTCCGAGAGCGAGGGTCAGGCGTGGCGAGGGGCCTCCCCCCTGCCCAGCTCCCAGAGGAGCTGGCTCCCAGAGGTGGGTGGAGAGTCTCCCAAGCACAGGCCAGCCCTAGAGGGCGTCAGATGGGCACAAGTGTTTACCCAGCAGGAGCAGGGCTGCAGGAAGGGTGGTCCAAGAGATCCAGCCCCTAACCAAGTGCTTCCCTCACCTGCTGGCCACAGGTCTGAGACCCAGCTGCACTGGGCCCTGCCCGGGAGACTCTGGCTCATCCCAGCAGTCACCAAGAGCGTCTCCTGGATGCAGGGCACTAGGATGCCCGAGCCTGAGAGGGGTCAGGGAAGCGCAGTGTTAAAGACGAGGGTTCCCAGAGCAGAGTCTGGAAACCACAGCCCCTCCAGCCTTTTCTTGGGCATTTCTCATCCCCACTGCAACCCGGTCCCTGTCAGAAGTTTCTAGTCTCTGGAGCTGAGCCAAAGGGTGAGTATTATTTTCCTTATTTTACAGATGGGGAAACAGAGACCAGGGAAGGTAATGTCACTGTCCAAAGGTCAGAGCCAGGGCTCCAGATCGCTGAGGCCCGCAGGGCACAGACGGGCACCAGGCTGCGGAGAGCTTCCGGAGGAAGAGGACAGGTGGCGTGATCACAGGCCCCCAGGCCTGTCCCCACGTCTCGCGACCTCAGCATGTGCTTCCTGCCCAGCTGGGTCCTCTGCTTCCTCCACCAGCCAACAGCTACTGCGCCCCCTTCCCCCTTCGCCGCAGGAACGGGGATGAGGGCGAGGAGCAGGGGTCTGGCGTCCTCGTGATTTGATCTGCAATGTTATTTAAGACTTTTCAAATTCAAAATGCAGTTAGAGCTGCTGGCTGGGCAGGAAGGTGGGGTCAGGGAGCTGTGAGGCAGGACCAGCCACGTGGCCACGAGGCACCACCACCTTTCAAGCACCTGCTCCCGGAATGGCTCTGCCGCTAGAATCGCTGCCCGGGTTACAGCTCTGCAAACCGAGGCTGTGGCTGGCAAAGACACTTCCCTGAGTTCAGCACGGAGTGAGTGGCATCCGGGACCCTCATCTGTCTGGCAGCTGGTTGGCGTGGGCACCGTGACGCCTGACCCGTCTCCATCTTCCAGTTCACGGCAGCCCCAGGAAGCCCAGCCCTCCCATCTCGGGGATCCCGAGGAACCGTCTGGAGGAGCGGGAGGGGAGGGCGGGCAGGACGGGGCCCAGGGGTCACCGGCATGAAGAAAAGGGCTTTCGCCCTGGCCGGTTTGGCTCAGCGGTTAGAGCGTCAGCCTGCGGTCCTGAGAGACCCGGGTTCGGTTCCCGCTAAGGGCACGTACCTCGGTTGCAGTTTGTCCCCGGCCCCGGTCGATTGTGTGGGTGGCAGCCACTCGATGTGTCCCTTTCACGTCGATGTTTCTCTCTCTCTCTCTCTGTTCCTCTCTCTCCCTCCCACTCTACCTGAACAAAAAACGGAAAAATGTCCTCGGGTGAGGATAAAAAAAATAAAATAAAATAAAAATAAAAAAAAAAAGAAAAGGGCTTTCAAATCAGCGTCCTCGTGGTGAACATCTGATTCCCCATAAAAGCTGAGCTGCTTTGCCCACAACTAGGGCATCATTTTGCCAGGGGGCCCAGAAAAGATGTGGGTAATGATTCAGATATGCACAAAAACAAAAACAGGGAAAAAATCTAAAGCAGCCCCTCCCTCTGCCGGCCTGGGATCTCGCTGTGCAGGCTCCAGAGGCTGTCTGCAGAGCTAAAGTGAGCGAGTGGAAAGGCGACTGTACGAGTGTGTGGGGGCCGTGTGTGGTAACCCCCACTCCTGTGGGTCGCGGGAAAGCATGTCCATTCCCAGCCCCGCATCCAGAAATCTGTGCTGGACGAGGACTGTCACCCTCGTGGCTGGAAGAGAATGGCCGGCGGGACTGCCAGGCCTCCCCCAGCGGCTCCCCAAGTGCTCCCGTTACCTGGGAGCAAATTAAATATGCAGACTTCTGGGGCCAGGCCCCCAGAGAGCAAAGGCAGACAGGTGGAGGGCTCCCAGGCCACACCCCTGGGGGTGATGTCTCACCTAAGGGTCCCACCTGCTACCCGGAGCAGACGCCCCCTCCCCTGTCCTCCCGCACTGTGTCCAGTCACCACAGGTCACTGTCCCCCACCCTCAGGGCATACGGAGAAGCCTTTGCCAAGGGTGGAAGGATGGGGGCCTGGCTCGTGGAGGAGGAAGGTAGCCCTCAGACTGTCTGGACAGCAGAATGACAGCCCCCGTGTGTGTTGGGAGAATCTCACATTCACAAAGGTCTTGCTCACCCTCCTGGGAGCTGGCCTCGGGAAGGAAGGGGTTTGAGGGCTGAGAGAACCGCCGGCCTGGGGCCCAGGCCCTCTGGGCACTGAGCACAGAGTCTACCCAGTGTCTCCAAGGGGGTGGGGAATTAGCTCCCAGCCTCGTGGCTTTCATGGGATACGTGGAGAGGGGCTCTCAGGGCCAGTCACCCAGAATCGGCTGGGGGTCGGGTAGCGTGGGCTGTACAGCAGGGCCCCAGCCCAGGTGAGGAGCCGCCCAGGACACTTCCCCAGCTATCCTCGGGCCCTGGAGAGGCTGGCCCCAGGGACACTGCCCATGTCCAGTCCCACTGCGCCCTCTAGAGGAGATCCCAAGAAAAGCAGGGCAGAGATAACCACAGTCAGCCTCAGGTCCCCATGCTCAGAACCAGGGTGCCAGAGCCCAAGGGACGCAGAGACCCTCCGTTGCTGGGCAGACGGGCCCCCAGCCAGGCAGGCCATCAGCAGGCCCCAGCCATCCTTCAGAGCTCCAACTGGACCTGGCACTCCAAACAGGCTTTCTGAATCCAGTGAGTGTGAATACGAGTTTGGTACAACAGTAAATATTTACAGACACTCTTCGACACAGAAGTCTGGAATTACTCTGGAAGGCAGTGGGAGCTACTGAAACACTCTGGCCTTCTAGAAGCTCTCAGAAGCACACCCTCTGGGATGCCACAGGGCCTTTGCACAGCTTCCACCCGACAGTGCTCTGCCCCTGCCAAAGGTGTTTTGTGGATTCCTGTTCTGTGTGCGCTGTTCATCCACAGAGAGGGTTTTCCTGGTCACGTGTCAGGCCGTGCAATTGTGAGACAACTGGTCAGCGTGGCTGTCCCACGAGGCTGGAACAATGTGAGCACCCCCGTGCCCCAGGTCCTTGCTGACCGTGGCTACGGAGCAGCTCTGCACAGCCTGGTCCCTGACCTCTCCTGCTGGCCTCTCGCCTGGGCCCAGGGTGGGGCCCGCCCACGCCCGGATGGTCCGCCTCCCCGAGCTGCCCATGGAGCCCAGGGTCTCTTCCCGGTGGTAGCGACCCCCAAGCAGAACCCCTGTGACCCTCCTCTGGGCAGTCACGACCTGGGCCCCTTGCGTCGCACCAATTGCTCTGAGACCGATGAAATACCCGGCAGAGACTGAGCTGCCCTCTGTGAGTATCTCAACGGAGGGGCCTGGTGGTGAGGACCCGAGGCACGGCCAGCGTGACCAGGAAGCGGTCCCGACGCCCCTGTACTGGAGAAAAACAAGGAAGCAACCCGTTTCCTCCCGCCCCCCCCCCCCCCGCGCTGTCCACCGCGTGCTGGAGGAATGGAGGCGTTCGCTCCCCCCCAGGGCCTCTTCTCCCCATCGAGGCACACCCTCTCCCCCAGGCACACCCCTCCCCCAGGCACACCCCTCCCCCAGGCACACCCCCTCCCCCAGGCACACCCCTCCCCCCAGGCACACCCCTCCCCCCAGGCACACCCCTCCTCCAGATGCACCCCTCCCCCAGGCACACACCCCAGGCACACCCCTCCCCCCGAGGCACACCCCTCCCCCAGGCACATCCCCTCCCCCAGGCATGCCCCCTCCCCCAGGCACACCCTCCTCCAGATGCACCCCTCCCCCAGGCACACCCCTCCCCCCGAGGCACACCCCTCCCCCAGGCACACCCCCTCCCCCAGGCACACCCCTCACCCCCAGGCACACCCCTCCCCCGACACACCCCCTCTTCCCCAGGCACCCCCTCCCCCCAGACACACCCCCTCCCCCCAGGCACACCCCTCACCCCCAGGCACACCCTTCACCCGCAGGCACACCCCTCCCCCCAGGCACACCCCCTCCCCTCTGAGACCCTCCCTCCGCTGTGAGGCTGCGTGGGGCCAGGCCAGGGCTGTCCAGGGCCGCAGTGCAGTGAGCCTTTGACAATAAAGTCTGCGTCTGATTATTCAGAAATTCAACATTAATGAATCTATTGTTGCAAATTAGCAAGTGATTCTTTATAAAATAAGGTTTCTGAAGTTATGTGCTCCCAGAAACATTTAAACCACGATTTATAAATGAATTCTGACACATTCAATATTTTTTAGACATTAAAAATCAAGTTAAATTTTTTTTTGAAGTTTTTATTGAATTTATTGGGGTGATATTGGTTAATAAAATTATCTCGGTTGCGAGTGTACTGTTCCATAACACATTCTCTGTATATGGACTGTGTGTTCAACGCCCAGAGTCGTCCCCTTCCATCACCTTTACCCCCTTCACCCTCCTCTGCTCGGCCCTCCCCTGACAACTGTCCGTCTGCTCTCTACCTGAGTCTGTTTCTCTTGGTTTGTTAGTTTCTGTTGTTGGTCAGATGCCAGGTAGGAGGCAGATCCCGTGTGGTCGGGCTCAGTCCCCTGAGCACAGTGCCTCCGGGTCCACCCCCTCCTTTAGGGCCTCACAGTGCTCCGCTGTGTAGACGCACCACATCCCTCGCCCACCGACCCACCGACGGACAGACGCTTGGCTGCTCCCAAACCTCGGCTGTGGTAGATGACGCTGCGCAGGGTCGAGTTTCCGCGGAACGTGGTGTGGCCCCTCGCGAAGGGGCCTGCACTCCCAGAGGGGCTGGTTCTGACTGATGACACCTATGGTGGGTGACTTTTCCTTTATGCCTTTCTCTGCGTTTGTGACACTCTGTCACAAACACAACTTATCACTAAAAAATGCAGACGTGGCCAGTGGGCTCCGTGGACTGTGGCGTCCTTCGCACAGAATGGGTGTTGGTTCCAGTCCTGGTCCAGGCACAAGCCCAAGGTAAGGTCAGGGGTGAGCAAGAGGCAGCCGCTTGATGCTTCTCTCTCTCCTTCTCCCTTCCTTTCTCTCTCTAAAAAAATCAATAAAAATATTACCAAAAAATACAAAAGTGTGCGAGTCAGCTGTAGCAAGACCACAGGGAGGTACTCTGAGGTCCTGGTGGCCCCTTCCCCACCCCCCCTCTCTCTCCTCTGCACCAATACAGGTACACATTAGCTGTCTGTCAAGACCACACTTTCATATTTTTGCCACACATATATATGTGTGCCACACAGAAGTCACTGTTCCACTGGTGGCACTGTGTTGTGTTCTGAAACAGATATTTATTTCAGTGGCTGTGTTGGGGAGGGTGGCTGGACCATCCATTTAACGGCAGGTGTACAAGAACACCCCAGGCCAGGCTCCAGTCCCTGGGGTCGGTGCCCGGCTCTTCCCAGACGTCTCTGCAGACACATGTGGAGGTCCCCGGGGCCGCGCGTGGATGGGTTGGAATCCCGCCTCACCCACACAGGCTGCGGCTCTGTGTCCCCACCTCCTGGGATTGTCCTGAGGGTCCAGTGAGGACGTGTGAAAACACCTTAGAACCCGCTGCGCCCCTTGCTGCTGGTATTAGTTGTTGTTAGTATTAGTTTAAGGGTGATTTTTGCCAACGATCAGAGAGGCTTCCTTTCCACTGCCAGGCCCCAAATTAATTAATACGTTATTTTTAGAAGTGAGTACGTTAAATGTTTCAGTTCTCTAAGAAACCAAAATCAGGAAGGTTTTCCCACTTACTGGAAGGCGGTCCCCACCATCCAGCGCAGGGTTGGGGCGCCTTGCTTCTCAGCAGCTGCACTGCACCACCCAGGCCCAGACCACCTGCCCCACCCCTGCAGGTCCGGGGGTCCGTGGCCAGAGCTGCCGTCTCCACCTCTGCCTCGCGGGTCAGACTGTCCCTGGAGGTGGGGTTTCCCTGCGTTCGGGCCTCGGGCCTGCAAGCTCGGATCTCTGAGACCAGAGGAAGTCATGTGAGTGGCACCTCTTTTCTCCGGGCCTCACTCTTGACGGCAGAGCTGTGAGCTAATAAGGGGGTGGTAGGTTGAGCCACCAAGTCTGTGGCAGCATCAGAAGATGTCACAGAAACCAGTGTGAATCCGTATGTCATCGTTACTACACAAGAAGTACACTGTCCTCATCCATCAAGGCCCCACGGCCGCTGTCTCCCCAGAGGTCACTAAGGCTCCTTCAGGGCTCCTCCTTCCCCCTGCCTCTAAGGGGGTGGCTAAGGTCCTGGGATCCCCAGGCTTCACCATACGAGGTGTGAGGCTGAGCCACCTGCTCCCCGGGGCTGCCGTTGGATCGATCTGTGCGTCAGGGACTCGGAGTGGTGCCAGCACACGGCAGTGGCTCAGAACATGTTTCCCGCGACTCCTGAGCCTTCCGAACCCTTAGGGACCCAGTGTGTGGCTCGTTCTCATGAGGGGCCGACGGAAGGTAAGTTCTGCTGGCTGCTCTGTGACTCTGTCCTCTGCGGTGGCGTCTGTCTTTGTTGAGCTCAAACAAACCGCTCTTCCGTGCCGATGGGTTCAAACGCAGCTGGCAAGTGACCCAGAAGCCATCCTGGCCCTGGGTCCCCTGGCAAAGGGCGTTCCCAGGGGTCAGCCAGAACCAAGCGACCGACCAGACCCCATAGAAGCTGAGGGACAAGCTGCCTGTGGCCACAGACTCCAGTAGAACCAACCGCCTCATCGAATGTGTCTGCCAGCTTCATGGCAGCAGCAGGAGTCCACGGGGGTGTCACCAAGAACATCGTGGGGTTTGGGACTAACTTCCCACTCCACACAGAGGAGCACAGAGAGCAGCCGGGAGGAAGGCACCTCCTTCGTGTCATGCTGCTTTGGCTTCAGGGTTTTGGTAACGAGAGCTCTTAAGTTAGAGCTGGTTTCACACTCGGGCATGGTGTCCACCAGCTGTGGGATGCAGGCAGGGGTCGCTGTCCTCTGCTCCTCCAAGGGGTTGGTGTGCAGCCTTGACACAGGAAGAGGGGTCCACCCACATGGGTAGGCCACGTGCGAACATGCCTGAACTCAGGGAGATGGTGCTGCCCGGACAGGGAGGACAGAAGCACGCTCCAGGCAGAGCCAACCCAAAGTGCCCTCCCTGCAAAGCACTAGTTGAGCTCGGTCCCAGGAGGCATTTACCAAGATTTGGGGGGCTGGTGTCAAGTAGCAGCTGCAGCTTTGTACCTCACAAGGGGCCAGCGTCCTTATTCTGAGCCAGAGCACACGGTCAAAGGTGCTGGCTGGAGCAGAGGGTGGGCCTGGAACTCCCCCAGCTCCCAAAACATTGAAACATCGAAGCAGAGAAAGAGGTGGGGGGAGGGGGCTGGCAGGCTAGTGGGTGTGGGCATCAGGACTCGCAAAGAAAACCCCAAATAGAGGGGAGGTGATGGGCTCGTCCCTCTGATAGAACGGTAACTCAGCACCCCTGTTGCTGTGCAGTAAGTTCATTGTCACAGCTTTGGCATCTCTGGGGTTCGGCTTCTGTGACCACAGTATGAAGGGTGGGTCTCCTAAACCACTACAGGGTTTTTTAATTCAAGTTTTACTTTCGAGACATTTGTAGATTTCATGCAGTTTGTAAGAAATAAAACAGGGATCCCTTCACCCAGTTTCCCCAGTGAAGCCTCTCGCAGACCCCAGTACGGCACCAGGACAGGATGCTCTCAAAACATAAAGCACTTCTGGGACCTTCTTGCCACCTCTCAGCACCTGGACCATGGCCACCTGCCCCCGCTCCTGACCCCTGGCACCATGCACCTGTTCTCCAGCTTGTCATTTCCAGAGTGTCATATACTTGGCACCACATCGTAAGTAGCCTTTTGGACTGGTCTTGTTCACGCAGACGGAGATTCACCCGGTTGTGGCTGTCGGCAATCGGTCCCTCCGCGTTGCCGGTGGAGTCCCACCCCTTCCCGGTGCAGGACATCTGGGCCAGCTCCCTTCTGGGGATGTGACGGATGCAACTGCTATGCACAGGTGCCCGTGTGCTGTCCTCTGGATAGATGCCCAGGAGGGCAGTTGCTGGGTCACATGGGAGTTGCTGGGTCACATAGGAGCTGCATGTTCCGTTTTTTTAAGAAACCACCCATATGTTCTCAAGAGGGCTGTACCATTTCATGTTCCTGCATTCCAGAATTTTAAACATTGATGTCTGATAGCAAGGGCAACAGGGAGCCACTGCATGTGTTTGAGCCCAAGTGAGCCTCAGGTGGCAAACGGAAACCAAGGCCGAAGGGGTAGCTGCAGGCCACCTTGTGTTCCCGGGACCTGGGCATGCCCCGCCCAGGAGGCCTGCCCACCTTCCTCACAGGTGCAGCCTCAGGTGCTCCGAGAGACAAGGGCTGGGTGGAGCACAGGTCATTACAGGGATAAAGGTGCTGACTTGAAGGGAGGATTTTCTGGAGAAAACAGTTCAGGCTTCCTGGACTCAGACAGATTCACACACGACTCACAATCAGAATTCTGCAGATTATTCATGGAAGTGCCGTTTGGTGGAACACCCACAGTGAAACAAAGCCCCGCTACCCAGCTCCAGATCCCATCTCACTTCTTTTTCTTAGAATTTCCTAAAACCACCTGTGTTCTTCTGCACAACCTGGCAGAGGGCTTTGGCACTGGGGACAGTGGAGGGGCTAGTGGCTGGCTGCCCAGGCACACGAGCTAGGTCACAGCACTACCAGGCCACTGGGCTAGGAGCTGGGCCTGGGGCCCCTGGACAAGGCACACTTGTAGGCGGTAAGGACAGGGCTTTGGGGCACGGAGGCTGGAGGAGTGCTGACCCGTGTCTGGACCGGCTGCCATCCGGGCAGGGACACACCCACTGGGCCCACCTACCCCACCTGGGCCCACTGCTCCCGGCCTGAAAGAGGAGGGTGAGACGGGGGGAGGGGGACAGTCCTGGCCCTGTCTGCGCGGAGAGTACGCTCTGGAGATGCAGGTGCAGGAAGAACCTACATGTTTCCAGGTGCCGCGAGAACTCAGGGACCAAGGAGCTCCAGGACCCCAACTCTGGGGTCTGCGCAGGAAAGGGCCACGGGCAGGGAGGGGGAGGGGAGGCAGCGGGTGCCCGCCCGCCCCTCGGACCACCCAGAGCGCGCTCCTTCCTCCCTCCTCCCAGCCGGTCAGAGGGTCACCGAGAGACCCACTCTGCTCCCCTCCGCAGCTCTGCCGGTGGCTGGGGCCTCCCCCGAGCCGGGATTGGATGCGAGGGAACAGGGTGGGGACGGGAGGGGACCCCAGAAGGCCAGGTCCCAGCGCTGACGGAGAACGTCCCCGCAGTGCAGACGCCGCTGGTCCGCACCCGCGAGAACGTCCGTGCAGACCGGGGAGCCGGCACAGCACCTCACGATGTTCGACAGCTCACAGTACCCCTACAACTGCTTCAATTACGACGCCGACGACTACCCGGCTGGCAGCTCCGACGAGGAAAAGCGGCTCACGCGGCCTGCGTACAGGTGACTGGGGGTCGGTGGCGGAGCGCGGGAGACAGCGAGGTTCCTCCGCAGGGAACGGGGTTCCCAGGACCTGCCGGGGACGGAGGGGGCTTTTCTCCTCTCGGGTGGGGCTCAGAGACTGGACACTTTCCTCCTCGCGTTTCCCTGAGGAAACTCCCAAGTGAGGGAGCGCTACTGGGGTTCGGGATAAAGCGGGGAGCAGGAAGCTCCATGGGTCACTCACCCAAACAACCCCTGTGCGCTCTCCTCTTCCATCAGCGCAGGCTGCTGGGACAGGACGGGCCCCTGCACCCCGGAGGGTTAGCGGGGGAGGGAGGGGGCATGCCAGCCGCCCTCTAGGAGCCTTCCCGCCCGCGGGCCTGACGCCCCCTGTCCGCAGCTACATCGCCCTGATCGCCATGGCCATCCAGCAGAGCCCAGCGGGCAGGGTGACCCTGTCCGGCATCTACGACTTCATCATGCGCAAGTTCCCCTACTACCGGGCCAACCAGCGCGCCTGGCAGAACTCCATCCGCCACAACCTGTCCCTGAACAGCTGCTTCACCAAGGTGAGCCCGCCCCGCCCCCGCGCGGCCCCTGGCGGCCCCGGCCTCTCCACACCTGGGCCAAGTCGTGGGGGGGGGGGGGGGGCAGACCCTGCTGCGAAGTTCCATCGGCAACCGAGCTTCCTCCACCTGCTCTAGCAGCAAGGCCGCGCCCCAGGGACCGAGGCGCCCCAGTGAGCGCGCGGGCAGCCAGCCTGGCGCTGAGCCTCTGTCATCGAACAGGTGCCGCGGGCCGAGGGCCACGGGAAGGGCAAGGGCAACTACTGGACGTTCGCCGGCGGCTGCGAGTCTCTGCTGGACCTTTTTGAGGATGGCAACTACCGCCGGCGGCGGCGGCGGCGCGGCACCAAGCGCGAGGCAGCCCGAGGAGAGCGCTCCAGGGGCGCAGCGGGGCCTCAGGGCCCACGCGAGCCGGCCAGCGCCCCGAGGTCTCCGGAGCTGCCCCCGGAGCCACCAGGCCCCGCCAGCCCGGCTGCCCTGGGGAAGGAGCCGCACAAGGACATCAAGTTCAGCATCGACTACATCCTCTCCGCCCCTGACCCCTTTCCGGTGCCCAGGTCGCCCTGCCGCAGGCCGGAGGCCCCGCCAATGAACCTCCGCTTTTGGACTATGTGAGGGGGGCTGAGGAGGTTGGCTCCTTGGGGGGCTGGCACCCCATGGGGGTCTTCTGGGTGATTTTAGTCTCCCATCAAGCCGAGAAGGGAGGGTTAGCCAGCAAGCATCTTACAAACTGGCGGACTCAGGCTCTGTCTAAAACCAGCCTGGGCTGGAGGGAAGAAGCTGAGAGACAGGCAGACCTCGGGGCACTGGGCCCGCCTTCCACCTTTCCAACAAGGTTCCTGCAGGGAAAGCCCTGTTTCCCTAGGGGTTCCCCCGGAGTCCCAGGGAGCAAGGGACCGAGAACACAGGTGTCACTGAGAGTCCCCGACGGCAGCCCCCCCCCCCCCCAGGAGCTCCTTCCTCACAGATAAAAGTCATAACAAAGTGTGTGGCTGACGTCAGACACTGATGGGCCCCATGGACATTGCCCCAAGGCTTTGCCTGTGACCCCGTTAGGACGGTGTATTTGGAAGTAAGAAATACATCTTGTTGTGGACAGAATCTTTGATGATGGTTTAGGAGGTTCCTTGCACTTTTCTTTTTTTTTTTACAGGAAAGAAGGGTGGGAGGGCTGAAGAAACGGGTTCGGGTGCGGGACACATGGAGGCAAAGCTCACCTTCTCGATTCTTCTAAGAGGAGTGAGCTCCTGGTCACGCAGTTTCCATCCTGGTGACATTCCACTGTGGGCGGTGAGAGACCCCACCCCTCTGTGAGACGGGCACACGCCACTTGTAAATGTAAATTATTTCATTACTGTGCAGAGACCGGCATTTTTAAAAAATATATATTTATTGCCTGGCCGGTGTGGCTCAGTGGTTGAGTGTAGACCCATGCACCAGGAGGTCACCGGTTCAATTCCCGGTCAGGGCACATGCCCAGGTTGTGGGCCAAATCCCCAGTGGGGGTCACATAGGAGGCGGCCAGTCAGTGTTCTTTCTCATCTATGTTTCTATCTCTCTCTCCCTCTCCCTTCTTCTCTCTTTCAAATCAATAAGGAAAAAATATTTTAATATTTTTATCGATTTTTTTTAGAGAGAAAGGAAAGGAGAGAGACATAGAAAATTTCTGTGAGAGAAACATCAATGGGCTGCCTCCTGCACGCTCCCTCCTGGGGAGCGAGCCCACACCCTGGGCATGTGCCCTGACCAGGAATCCAACCAGGACCCCTCAGTCCATGGCAAGATGCTTAATCCGCTGAGCCACGCTGGCTGGGCGAGATGGGCATTTAATTATGCACAGTGAAGCTGTTTAGACCCTTCTCATTTTTAACCAGCCCATTTTGTGCAGAGTTCATTGCTACCCATGGCTTCATTTGAACAGTATTGTGGATTAGACCTAGTCCGATTCACTCGGTGACAATGATTGGCTAATTCTGTAAACGAAAAAACACACCCAAGCAGGCGGCTGTCCTGGCTGGGAAGTCGTAGTTGCTTTATCAAGCGGAAGGCAGGCAGCATCTGAAGCTGACGGACTGAGCAAAAGTCTCCCCAAACAGCCTGCATTGCTGACCCGGAAGACCTGACTTCCACAAGGTCACAGATCCCTCCCTTCACCCTGTGAATAGAGACTCCACGTGCTCCTTCAACTGCCTGAGAAGAGACGGGGCTGGTCCTTACGAAGGCCGACTGCCTGGCCCCAGTCCAGACATAGCTTTGGTGATGGGTCCACACCTCTCCTGCCAGGCCCGCCAAGTGCAGCCTCTGCCCACAGGTGTCAGCCTCGTAGGAGGAGAGGAGCCCCAGAAGCAGGAAGAAGACTCGTCACAGAGAACACCTCTCCTTCGAGAATGATAACTGCCAAACTGCTGGGGACCCCGGCGTCAACTGTCTGCACACCAGCCCTAGGAGGCCAGACCTGTCCCCAGTCCGATTCTACAGCTGGGGACCGGCCATGCAGCGGGCCCGGGCCAGGCTGCCGCCTGCACACGTGTGTGTGTGCGCACGCGTGCACCGTAGGTGTGTGTCTGTCTGCATTCCTCTTTTACATCGTTTGTTGGCTGTGTTGAAAGCATCGTTAAACTGTACCAGGTGCATCTGAGTCGTGACACCGTGCAGGCTGTGGTACAGGAGCAGGGCATCCAGGGGATCTGAGGGTCTCGTCGTCTGCTGCCACCTGAGCGAGCGAAAGTTGCATCTCACCTCTCGGATCCTTGCCCTGCTGCCGCATGTGGTTGGTGAGTGAAGCCTTGGGCCTGGAGAGACCATCTCGGGAGGCCCCTTGGGAGGAGGTGAACTGTTTCTCAGCACCTCCGCCCACACGTGTTCCTGGGTGGACAACCGCCCAGCTGTGGCTGCGGTGAGCAGGGGGCTGCCCCAGCGGCGAGATCTGTGCACTACAAGGTTTAACATTTGTTTTGCAAAGGATATCAATCATGTTTTTAAAAGCAAAGGGACATTTCCAATTTGCCAGTGTGTGATATCCTGCGACTTCAGAAGGGCTCCAAGCCCTGAGAGTGAGTGGCATTTAATACCAACGACACAGGAGGGTGATGGCTGCCTCTGACCTATTCAAATGCCGCCGCCGCCGCGCAGACTTGCCAGCACAATTATAATTAAATACTTTATGCCTCTCTTGCAAATCCGCTGATTGATCACCGATAGGTACATTACCACCACATTACCCGGAGCAGGTGTCTGCCACTTGCGGTCATGGATCACCGGGTTTCCATTAGCACGTGGGAGGCGCCGCGGAGCGGGAGTTGGCGGAGGTGCGTGCAGAGTTCCGTCCCGCAGAGCCAAGTTTTCGGGACTGTGGGGTGTCCCTCCCCACAGCCACTGGCCCCCTCCACAGCTGGAGGCGGCAGGAGCCAGAGGTGGTCCTGATTCCTCCTGGAAGAACGGGGACCCGCCACAGGTGTAGGGTCAGGGTCGCGGGACCGCAGTGTGCGCAGGCGTGTGAATCCAAACCAGCGAGGTGGGACTCTCCTCCTCCCTGCACAGCGGGTCTCCCCAGAGAGGCCCCCCTCAGCCCACAGCACGCCCACCACACACGCCCCTCTGCCCTGTGCTGCTGTCCTTGGCCCCCGTGCCCTCAGGGCAGCAGAAAGACCTCTCTTCAAGTTCCTCCCTCCCTGAGTTGGACACATTCAGGGCTGTTGGTTCACTCCATCAGCCATGCTTGGTGTTGGGTGCAAGTATGAGCCAGAGCACCAACTGCATTCCAGCCATGGGCATGGGAAGCTGCCACCGAGTACAAACACTTTTGCCCCGGGCCGTGGGTGTTGGGAAAGGGTGACTCGAGGTGGGCGCTCCAACCTGCCCAGACTGCTTGGGCAGGGTCCTCCAGGGCAGGCAGGGGTCCAGGCCACGAGGAAGGGTGTTCTAGGTGGGGCGGTGAGCGGGGCCCCTGTAGTGGGAAGGGGTCGAGGGGGGGCTTGCAGGATAGACCCGAGGCCAGTGCGGCTGGTGGGAGCTGGGAGAAGGGAGAAGGCACAGGAGACCCCAGTCTGCTCTCCCAGCCCCAGGTCAGGGCCAAACACCCCATTTCTTTAACCTTTGAAGTGCACCCCCTGCATGTACATCACCTTCCACAGAACTCTTGCAGGACAGTGACCTCCCATGCTCTGGGCGCTTTGCTTTGGTTGATGCGGCCTCCGTACCACTCACCGACCTGAGCACACGCCGCGCAGCTCCTGTCCCAGCCGTCTCTGACCCTGCCCACCTCGCGCTCATGACACTGAGTTCAGGGACCTAGCACCCGGTGTAGGTCTGAGGTGGCGTTAATCAGCCAATCCCGTCTCCCCAGAGACGCAGTCCTTGTCAGGGCGCTCCGCAGGTATCAGGACATAGATGCTTCTTCACTGATCCTCCCGCCTCCTGCTGCCGGCTCCAGCACACCTGTGAGCAGGACGAGCCGACTCCCAGAGGGATCCACTCACAGGCGAGGAGGGTCCCTGACAGGCTCCCCCGTGCCAGGTGCTCCCCCATGCCAGGTGCCAGGCTGAGGGTGGAGCAGCTGGCCTGGAGGTCAAATGTCCTGTAGTTGTGGTCAACCCCTAAGGGTCAGGGACCCCAAATCTCAAAATGGGATGAGGGTGTGGACTCCATGCAGCCTAGTGCCCCCAGCTGCCTTTTGGGGTCCACAATGCCCCCTCCGTGGGATCGGCTGGCATAGACTTCAAGAGGAAGTGCACACACCGTCTATTACCTGTCATTGGACTTTGTACTCAGCCACAGTAACAATTCATACACAGTTGCAAAATTGCATGTTTTCATCCTGTTAAAAATACCAACTGGACCGCATGTAAATGGGCCTCCTCCATGGCTCGGCTGGCGACACCGCCCCCCCCCCCCCATCCCCACAAAGGCGCAGCCCAAATTGAAGTCGCCGTGCGTGTCTGTGCAATTTAATTCTGCCACCTCAAGGCGACGCTGGCCCAGGTCCGAGCGAGGTGTGCGCTCACCCAGCTGAAACCCGCACTGGGATTCGTAATGAACGTCGACGCCGCGGCGCCGCTCTTAGAAAGAAAAGGAAACTGGTGTGATCGCTGGAACTCTGCTCGCCTCCCCTCGGCACTCTATACGGGGAGCGCCCCAGGCGGCGACCCCAGGAGGCGCACAGGGTGTCGAGTCGCCCTCGCGTGGGCCATGTTTACAGCAGGTGTTTACAGCAACTGCTTTTACCCGCCCCTGCTCACCAGGCCGCCATGGGCTCTCCATGTCCACAGCTCACCACACAGCTAGTGTTCGGCACCTGCCTCACCCTCCAGACCTAGTCGCTCCCGGGCTCCAGACTGATACTGGAAGAGCACGTCTGGCCCGCCGGACGTCCCATTGCATTGGTTTTTAGAGAGAGAGGAAGGAAGAGGGAGAGAGAGAACGTTGATGTGAGAGAGAAGCATCCATCAGTTGTCCCCCGAAGGTGTCCCAACCAGGGACTGAACCCGAAACCTGAGTCTGTGCCCTGACTGAGAATGGAACCCATGACCTTCGCTACATGGGGTGACACCCCACCCAGCTGAGCCAACCAGCCAGGAGGGCGTGTTCTGCCTGGAAACACTCATGAGAGTCCCCGG